CCTGGAGGGTATCCATGCAGTTTGTAACATGTATCCACTGTATGGTTATTCCTACCACAGTAAGTACAAGTTTTCATCTGATGTGATTGTCCTCTGCCTCCATATGTGCGACCACGTCCTCTTTGGAATGAACCTCTACCACGATTGGATTGACTCGAGGTATTATAAAGAACTCGAGAATCTATTTCTGTGGCTATTGTGGTGCTGAATTCACGTTCTTGCTGAAGAATTAAAGAGAAAGCTTTATGAACAGAAGGAAATGGTTCAAGTAACATCACCTGAGATCGTACATTGGTAAATTGGTCGTTCAACCCTTTCAAGAAACGAATAACAAGATCACGATCTCTATCTGCTCTTATTTGAGTTCTGGCTCCACATGTGCAAGCAGGGAGAGGCTTTAGGTTCTCAAGTTCATCCCAAAGCGTCTTTAAGCGAGTGAAATAATCTGTGACAGAACTGTCACCTTGATGAAGATGATAAAAATCTTCTTGAAGAGTAGAAATTCGAAAAAGATCAACTTGAAAGAACCTATTTCTAAGTTCTATCCAAGCATCAGAAGCACGATCTACCCAAAGGATGGATTGAGCAATGAATTCTGATATGGAACGATGTAGCCATGTCAGGACAATGGTGTTACATCGATCCCAAGCAAAGAAGAGAGGATCCTCAGCTGTCGGAGGAGCAATGGTGCCATCTATGAAACCCACTTTATTCTTGGAACGAAGAGCCATTGTCATTGATCGAGACCAAGAGTGATAATTGCTTCCTGTCAATAAAGAAGGAACAAGAATCTGTGATGGACTTTCACTGGGATGTAGGAAAAATGGATTTCCTGGATTAGTAAGGAAGTCTGCATGGTTTGCCATGGAAGAAACAGAGAAAGAACTGAAAAAGAATGAAGAACAGCGGAAGATTTAGAAAAAAGAATCTTGAAAATCTGATACCATCTTATCAGAGAGAAGATGAAAAACAGTTTCTCTTATTATCAAAAGAGAGAACTTACAGAAATGATTGATGAAAATGAATAAGAGTACATCACATCCTATATATACACATTCACTATATAACAGAAAGTGTAAAGTTAGTTGGAAATGATCAACTAACTAAACTAACTAACTGTCATATCAACTAACTAACTTAACAGACTCCTTCTGATCAAGCTCAGCTGCTGTTGATGATTCTGATACAAATGACCTTTTTATTCATCATTTCAGTTTTTTTTGTACATGTTTCAAGCTTATAAAAAGATTATATTTAGCAAGAGGAGGAGTAAATGCCGTTGCAATGTTTAGTTTTTGTTATTGGAGCATGGAATAGGGGTATGAGTGATAAAATTCCGTTACATTATTTTGTCCTACTTTGATGCAGTGTCGCTGCAGCAGCATCATTCTTTAGTATTTCTTGTTATGGTGCCTGCATTTTTTGTTTTATAGCCAACTTTTGGTGCCTGCTTTGTTTAAGTGTTGCTGCAGTGATAGCATGCTTTTGACCATCTCCTTGTTCTGATACCTACATGGTTGTAGTGTTACAGCAAGTTGGGTGATCAAATAACCTGCTGTTTTGATAATAAATTATTTCAAATTACTTTTTTTGTACATGTTTCCTGCTTATGAAAAAGATTATATTGAGCAAGAAGAGGAGTATATGTCGTTGCAGTGTTGGAGCAAGGAGTAGTGGTACGACAAATGAATTTGTGTAATTGGAGTGGGAAGCAGGGGTATGAGTGATAAAATTCTATTACGTTATTTTTTCCTGCTTTGTTTCAGTGTGCAGTAGCAGCAAAATCATTTTTTAGCATTCTTTGTTGTGGTGCCTGTATTTTTTGGTGCTTGCTTTGTTTAAGTGTTATTTCAGTGATATCATGCTCTTTGAACATCTCCTTGTTCTGATTAAGGGTTTGCAAAATAACCAAAAAATTGAACCAAACCATGAACCGAACTGAACAGTCTTTAAAATAATCTGTTTTTAAAAACCAGTTCATGAACCGAACCGATTTTTAGAACCAGTTTAAGAATCGAACCATTTTGAACCGAACCGAACTGAACCGTTTTCAAACCGAACCAAATTGATTTTATAACTTTATTTTTTAAAATTTTTAATTTTTTTTTTCTTTTCAAAATAGAGTCGTCCCGAACCGGTTCCGAACCGAACCGAACCACTTTCGAATCGAACCATCTTCGAACCAAACCATTTAAACCAATTCGGTTTGGTTTTTCAAAAAATTCGGTTCGGTTCGATCCATGCTCCCTAGTTCTGATACCTATATGGTTGAAGTGTTACAGCAAGTTGGATGATCAAATGACATATTTTTATTAAAAATTATTCAATTTACTTCTTTTTTTGTACATGTTTTATGCTTAAGAAAAGATTCTATTAAGCAAGATGAGGAGTACATGTCGTTGCAGAGCAGGGAGCGGTGGTACGATAGATGAATTTTTGTTATTGGAGTTGGGAGCAGCGGTATGAGTGATAAAATTTTGTTACATTATATGGTCCTACTTTGTCGCAGTGTCGTAGTAGCAACAACATCATTTTTTAGCATTCCTTGTTGCGGTGCTTGCATTTTTTGTTTTATGATAAACTTTTGGTGCCTGCTTTGTTTAAGTGTTGCTGCAGTGATAGCATGCTTTTTGACCATTTCCTTGTTTCTGATACCTACATGGTTGCAGCATTACAACAAGTTGGATGATCAGATGACCCTTTTTTTCATCATTTCAGTTTTTTTTGTACACGTTTCATGCTTATAAAAAGATTCTATTTAGCAAGAGGAGGAGTACATGCCGTTGCAATGTTGGAGCAGATGAACGATAAATGAATTTCTTTTATTGGAGCGTAGAGCAGGGGTATGAGTGATAAAATTCTGTTACATTATTTTGTCCTACTTTGTTGCAGTGTCGCTGCAGCAACATTATTCTTTAGCATTCCTTGTTGTGGTGCCTGTATCAATGAAAAAATCCAATAACACATATCCTATTTATACACAAAATATTTGCATTTTTTTACAAATTTTTTTTTTTAATGATTATTTTTTAACAAAATTGTTTTTTTTTATGCATCATTAATATGGTTAACAATTACCCATGTAGAAAGTAATGTGATAATAAATGAGTTGTCTGCCACCAATATTTGTTCAAATGTTTTCCTAACCTTTAAAATTCTAAATTCTAAATTAAAATGTAAACATAAATTCGACATTTAAAAGAAATATTTTAGAAAGTTATTATTAATTTGGAAATTCTAATGTAGAAAGTAGTGGGATATCAAATGAGTTGTCTGCCACCAAAAATTGTTCACATAATTTTCCATTTAACATATTTCCAAATTTCGAATTTATTTTATATTTGTTTATTTCTACTTTTTTTACTAAAGAAGGAAAGTTTTTAAATGGTTTGAAGTGTGAACACAAATGTGAGATCGAAGGAGAGAGTGACACATCATCAAAGTTTTCAAAGAATGGGTTAACTTTATATATATATATATATATATATATATATATATATATATATAGACTAGTGGTGGTAAAGTGGGTGGAATCCGTCAAAAAATGAATCAGTCTGCCCCGCCTCGCTTTTGAAAGTGGATTAAAAAACTCAGTCTGTCATATCTCATAATGGTTTGAAGTGTGAACACAAATGTGAGATTGAAGGAGAGAGTGACACATCATCAAAGTTTCCAAAGAATGGGTTAACTTTATATATATATAGACTAGTGGTGGTAAAGTGGGTGGAATCTGCCAAAAAATGAATCAGTCTGCCCCGCCCCGCTTTTGAAAGTGGATTGAAAAACTCAGCCCGTCATATCTCATTTGGTGAGAGGGGCGGGTTGGCCTGCTGGCCCAAACTTTTTTTACATTAATCTGCCTCGGCTCGTCCCTCCCTGCCATCAACCCACCAAAATACAAGTTAGCCTGTCCCACCCCATCTTTAAAAGTAGGTTGTAAAACTCAGCCCGCCCCATCGAGCTGAGCCCGTTTTGCGAATTCTAGGTATAACAAATTTAGTAACCTTTTAAAAAAGATAAAATGAAATTAAGTATATTTGTTATATGAAAGTAAAATTATATTTGTTGATGGAAATTTAATATAGAGATAAATTATTCTACTACCTCTTTTGTTACCTACCATTCTTAAATAATATTAGATTAGAATTTTAACTATCTTTATCATTTCTTTCTCCTATTAAAATTCTGATATAATAATATTAAAAAATAATAAATAAAAGTAGATAGAAAAAAGAAGAAGAAATAGAATAACATCTCCATTTGAGTTTGAGCTAAAGCTAAAAAAAATAACTTAAAAAAAAATCTAAAAGCTGTTTGGTAATTACATAAAATTTTTAACTTAAAATCACATATTTCAAGAAAATTATCTTTCACTATTTTTATAGCTCTTTATTTTAAAAAAAAGCACACAATTAAAAAAAACAAATAAGAAGTTAAAAAAAGCTCCTCCTAAAATCTTTTACCTTATATTTTTTTTTATTATAAAAGAAACTTTTAATTAGAATAATTTTTCTCGAAATCTATTTGACCTAACTTATACTTACAAATACCTTTTAGCTTAATAACAAATCCAAACAGCCCCTTAATATAATAATGGGAATGAATATTGTAAAAACCAACTAGTGTTACTATCAATGTTACTAGCAATCAACTTTACCGTCAGATCAATTATGTTGATCCAACAGTTATATTTATTTACATCTTTGTATGATTATGATTCTTCATATTTAATATGAAATCATAGTAGCCATATAAAGGTGAAGTTCACAATAAATATGGAGAATCATAATCATACAAAAATATAAATAAATATAATCATTAGATCAACATAATCAATGCAACCATGATTGATAATAATATTGATAATAACACCCGATTGATTATTAGAATATCCTGCACCTATAATAATACCTTTACAAACTTCGATTGAAAACATCCAAAAAGGCTTTTAACTTTTTGTGAATGATGATTGGGTCTACAGACTACAATGGTAATCACCGTAAAGCACCTATCTAGTTCACTCCTCTCCTCTCAATGTAACTGTGTGACTGTGAAGAAGAAGAAGAATGCTTCTCTTAGCCTCAGCTTCATCCTCTCCTCTTTCTTTCCCTTCTTCACCTTCAAACCTTCATCTTTTCCTTCCTTCCTCATTTCCTCGTCCTTCACTGCACCTTCCCCTTCCCCCTCCTTCTTCTACTTACCAAGCAACCCCACTTCGCCTCCATACCCCACCACCCCTTTTTTCCTCTTCCCCTTCTTCTTCTTCTGTGGAGCAATCTGGTTCATTTTCTCAGGTTTAGAATGGTGCATTCACAGTTCATTTAGTGTTCATTGCTGAAATACTTTTATTGGAATTGCTAATTGTTGGTTTTTAAAATGATTATCCAGATTCACAATGGCTTGTTGTACTCCAGAGCTTATTGGGTTAGTGAATCTGTTATTGCTTGGAATGTGGAGGTTGGAAATGGATTTTCCTACCTACTTGCGAGCAAAGATGCTACTTTGAGCATTGCAAATTATAAAATTCAAGGTTTAGATTCCTAACAAACCGTTCTACTTTGTTCTTGACTTCTGTTTACTTCTGTTTGTCAAGCGTGTGGACAATTAAATGCTGTTGTTTTTTTGTTTACCATTGATTACAACAGGAAATTGACTCATTGTGTTACTAATTAACAGGTGAGGATTTGAAAATTAAGCTCGAAGAGGATAGGGCTGGCCTTCCTGCAAATGTAATCTACCCTTTTAGTCTGTAACATCTTTAAGATTTTTCTAAATATCAAGCACTGCTAAATAGTGCTTTTTGCTTTATGATTCCATTATTTTATACAATGTGGTGGTGGAGGCTTTCACATTCAGTGGAATAAGGACTATTTAATTACTATTGCTAACTTTGCGTTGTTAGGTGGTGGAGAAATTTCCACATATTCGAGGTTACAGAGCTTTCAAACTGCCACCCAATTTGGATGTTAAATCTCTTCTTAAATCCCAGTCAGTGGTTGTTGTTTATGATTGTAAGTCCTCTTCTTTCTGCAATAGCACATAGAATGTAGAAGTATATCTACAAGTCATAGAATAGTACATTTTCGTGCTCAGCCCCTTTATTAGCGTAGCATAGTTCGTTTCCAAAATATGCTGGACTAGATTGAAAAGTAAAAGCTCTTTGCAGCATGAGCTTTGCATGTGCCAATGAGTATTTAATGGTTATTTAGGCACTCAGAGCATTCTTGTGGAAATGAGGAAAGAAAAAAGTGTCTTTGTGGTCACAAGTGTCTACTAATAGTATTTCCTTTCTTCATTTTGCACAGCTGATGAGAAATTCAGGAATTGTACTGGTTTGCAGTTACCTGGTGTCTTAGATGAGATTTTCTCATATAATGGTCCCCTTGGTGCACTTTACTCAGAGGAAGCTGTGTCACTTTACCTATGGGCGCCTACTGCTCAAGTATATTATTTTTCATTAAAAAAAAAAAATCTTAATTTTGATGCTTTCTTCAACCTAATCTGCATATTCAGATATATCTTTGCACATTTTCTTGGGGGGGATGGGTTTAAAAACAGGCAGTACATGCTTACATCTATAAGGACCCATCAGGAGATGATCCCATGGAAATTGTTCCCCTTGAGGAAGAACATGGTGTTTGGAAAACTAAAGGACCAAAAAGTTGGGAAGGCTGTTACTATGTTTATGAAGTATGTGTTTACCACCCTAGCACTTTGCGGGTTGAAAAATGCTATGCAAATGATCCATACGCTAGAGGGTATGCTCTGTTCATGTCAGTTTGCCATCAATTATCTTTTGTAATTATTTCTTGAATTCATGAGTACCATTTAGCAATGAATATTTAAATGATTGTGTATAAATTTTAATTTCCGGAACTCTTTGTTGATTTTAGCCCCTTCTGATTCTGTATTTAAGCAGACTTTCATCAGATGGCAGGCGGACTTTTCTGCTTAATCTTGACTCTGATGAATTAAAACCTGATGGATGGGATAGTCAGGCAAATGAGAAACCTATTTTACATTCCTTCTCTGATATAAGCATATATGAAATGCATATAAGGGATTTCAGGTAATTATTTAACGATGTCTTTAATTTTATTCAAAGATCAATGTTGTCTTTTCTTTCTTAACGTCTGCAATAAGGGATGTTTTATTATTTTTCATAATGTCCTCTCCTTATGTGATGTGAAAATCTCTTTGAAACTTATAAGTATGCTTTTGAGTATAAATGCCCAAAAATTCATTCTAGAATACTCATACATACTGAAATGGATGCTCATGATTTTATGGTTTGGTTCCATAATAAGAGGAGAAAATAATGGGAGGATAGAGAGGTAGAAAGAACAAAGAGGCAAGCTCTGGTGATACAGCTCCCTGACCCACAGTATGCAATTTTTTGGGCAAAGTAAATAACTTGTGTTGCTTATTTGCTCTCACTTCTTAATATGTTAAATTTTGTTGTTTCTCTCGTAAGTCCAGATATTTTTATGCTCATATTCCCTAGTCTGTTGCTACACTTCTGATAATGCCTTTTTCCATAATCTTTAAAATAGTTCACTATTGTGCTTAGTATTTAGAACTATCACTTGGAAATGTTGCTTGCTTTGTGCTTTTATGTTATATTTTTTCTGTCATTCTAAATTCTGGTTACCTTTTGCTTGTTGCAATACAGTGCCAATGACCTCTCTGTGCAACCTGAATTGCGTGGTGGCTATCTGGCCTTTACGTTGCTGGTAATTTTAATATCTGAATATTGCTGTTGATGGAGTTCGATAGGAATAAGATTTTCCATCTTTTATGAATAGTAATGGAATATGGGATAATATTTGTGCTTCCAACTTCTATATATATATATATGGGAGCCAGGATACGGCACCGGATCCTGGTTTTTTTTTTTTTTTAAAACGCTGTGGGGCCCACTTTTCTGTGTCAGCTGTAGATAGCACTCTCTACGGCGGCTGCAGAAATGATAAGCCCTATATATATATGTATATGTATGTATGTATGTATGTATGTATGTATGTATGTTTGTATATATACTGGTAATTAACTATGAGCATATGTGTTTGAAGGATTCAGCAGGTGTACTTCATCTAAAGAAATTATCAAATGCTGGTATTACACATGTCCATCTATTGCCAGCATTTCAGTTTGCCGGGGTTGATGATCAAAAGGAAAACTGGAGATTTGTAGGTAAGATTTATGACAGATTATTCTCTGAAGTCTGTATAAACCCTTATTTTGCGGTTAAACCCCCTCCCTTCCGTGCATACTTCATGGATTTTCTCCTTGCGTGGTTCATATTTGGGCTTGTACCCTTATAACACTGCAAAAATAAAATAAATAAATATATATATATATATATATTCTTTTAATGCTTGTAACTCGTTTCTAATTAGGACTAGTGGTAATATAATTAAAAAATTATTGAAAGGAATCTCACATAATGTCTAGTATTGAGATTAAGCTATGTTTCCCATCCTCGATGCTACTTTGTCTTTTGTTTATTACTTTGTCTTCAATTACATACCTTTAGTCTATGTAGATATTTCCAATGTCCATGTAATATTGATGCCATCCTTCTATCATGCAGCTTGTTATCTGTTGTTTTATATATATTTAATATAAACAAACATCAATGCATACATACACCTATCCTTGTCCATGATGTGTGTGAATCTTTGTTTGTCTGTCTGTTTGGAAACTTGATTGCTGATCCTTTTGTTTTGGAGCTTTTAAACAAGATACATGGTAAAATATGTGCTCATGATTATTTATTTGATTTATCTTTTGTTTGTTATCTGACCCAAGCACTCTGTTAGATACCTCAATACTGGAAAGTTTGCCTCCGGATTCAGATCAGCAACAAGCTCTCATTACAGCCATCCAAAATTTTGATGGATATAACTGGGGGTAAGCTTCTGAATGCCTCATTCATTGACAATTGCGACATTTGTTTATGGGAAAATTTGTTTTTTTATGTTTTGTCTTAAAAAGGTACAACCCTGTTCTTTGGGGCGTTCCTAAAGGTAGTTATGCAAGTAATCCAAATGGTCCATACCGTACAATTGAGTTCCGTAAGATGGTTCAGGTCTGATTTCAATGTTTTCTTATCTGATGTTGAATCCATGGATATAGTTTTCTATTTAATTTTGTGATGTGGACCAGTAATTCTATCATCCATAGTCAGCTAAATCAATTTTTGGTTCTTCTATCTCTTGGAATTTATATATTTTGCAGGCTCTAAACCATATTGGCCTTCGCATTGTGTTGGATGTTGTCTACAATCATTTGCAAGGAAGTGGGCCCTTTGATGAACATTCTGTCCTTGATAAGGTCATTAATTATGAAGTTTTCTTTGGATGACCTGTAATGTTTAGATATGTATATGCATAGCTGTCCTATTGAGTATTTCTTCATTATTTTGTAAAGCCTATCTACTTTTGTATTGTGAGGGAATGGCTCTTATAGATTGTTCCAGGTTACTATCTAAGAAGGAATACTGATGGTTTCATTGAGCACAGTACTTGTATTAATAATACTGCCAGTGAGCATGTTATGGTTGAGCGTTTGATCCTTGATGATCTTGTACACTGGGCGGTCAATTACAAGGTGATTTTTATATTATTCACTGGTCTCACTTCTTACCTCTTAGATTTGTATGATTTAGAAACTGTTTCTGTTTTTCTGTTTATTGGATTTCTGTGGTGAATTGTCAATTTTATATATGGTCTACAATTTTTCTTAGAAATGAATTTTTCTGCTCATGACTGCTTGAAGGGAGTTGCTATGTCTGATTTGCAGAGAGATTTAGCAGCCTGCAGCCTTTACAGTTTTATTGATCTTCATTGTATAGATTATCCTGTTTTGAAGGATTTCTTATCCGCCCCTTAATTGTACTTTCCCTTCCTTTTCAATCAAAATAAATTAATAATAAAAATACTAATTGAGTTCCATAGATTGTTTATCATAGACCATATGATGATTTTTCTTTTTCAGATTGATGGGTTCAGATTTGACCTTATGGGTCATATAATGAAGGGCACAATGGTATGTAACTCACTTTGGCATTTTACCATGTGACTTATTATGAAAACATGTTAGCAAATCAGTGCAAGATATGGATAGACAATAAATAAAGCTAATGAATATGTTGTAATGTTTCACTCTGTTGATTGTCGAAGCTCATGTCATTGCTTGGTAACTTGTAATTTAGATATAATTTCAGATTATATGCTGCAATAGTAATTGAATGATAAATTATAGGGATGACAAGCAGAATATAATTTCAATAACATCAAGTTGTCACGATTTTGGATTTGGGTTGTGTCCAAATAAAAGGTTAATGAAAGATGAATCTGACATCATATATCAATGTATGGCATGCAAATACACGAAAGAAAGATTGATTTCATGATTTGGATGCAGGTGAAAGCAAAAGATGCTCTCCATTGTTTAACAAAAGAAAAGGATGGAGTTGATGGTTCAAGCATCTACATGTACTTGTTCTCCAATGTTGGTTTTTATTGAATTAGATACGTTGGTGAATTTCTTTATTATCTTCATTCCTCATTTTTACTCATTTGCATGTTGTATTTTTACCTCATATTCTTTAATTTTCTTTCTTCTCATTTTAATTGAAAAAAAGATATGGTGAAGGATGGGACTTTGGTGAAGTTGCCAAAAATGGACGTGGAATAAATGCTTCTCAGTTCAATCTCTCTGGAACACAAATTGGGAGGTAGGATTTGTCTATTTCCATTATATGTTGCTTAATAATCTTTGAAAACCATTTTTTCCCTCAAAATGTTCAAGATAGAACTTATGGCCGAAATGCTTTTTTAAAAATAAAATAAATAAAAAACAGAAAAGAAAAGAAAAAGAAAAAAGAAACAAAAAACTTGCATATATTCATTCATGTAAATTAACTTGATATGGTTGTCTCATTCTAATTTTAGGAATTGGTCATCATTGCCTATACTTCTAAATCAAAATATTTTATGTTGATTAGTCATGTTGGAATGTAATATTCAGCTTTAATGATCGAATCCGAGATGCCATACTTGGTGGATCTCCATTTGGCCACCCTCTTCAGCAAGGTTTTGTAACTGGTCTACTCTTGCAGGTATTTTCTTTCTTTTTTTGATCTATTTTTGACCTTATAGGCATTATCTTTGATCTTCAACCTTAAGATCTTGTAAATGTAACGATATCTTTCTTCCTCTATTTTTCCTTCCTACTTTTTCTTGTCTTGATTGAACTCATTGTCAGGCTATACACACATGCGCATTGTGGAATGTTCATACTTGATATTTTATATCATATGTTAGAAGTTATACTTTGGGACATTCAAAATCAATTATTCTCAAGAATATATAGTTATATCCTAAGTCACTCTGTTAAAATTGAAACTACATAGGTTGTCTTCAAAGTTGAATCTAAACCTAGGTAAGTTAATGATTAATGTTTCTTCCTACAACATTATGTTTTATATAAAGTGTTTAGAAATCTAAATAGTAAGTTTAAATTTGTCCACTAACAATATTGCCATTGTTTTCAATTTCTATATGTTATTTTTTCAACTTTATGGTCAGACTTTCCTGCTACGACTTGTCCATATACCAGTGCATGATAATTATCTTTGGCTCAATTAGAAGACTTCTAATGTGATTTGTTGCGAGAAAATTAACATCCACAGAAAAATGTTGCCTGCAATTTTTATTCAGGAACTTATGGGTGCTGAGATTTGTCTTCTATGCAGCCTAATGGCCATGACCATGGAACGGAAGCTAACGCGGAATCCATGCTTGCTGCATCAAAGGATCACATTCAGGTTTTGGTGACATGGATTTTTGTCTTTATCTGGATGTCTTATTTTTCAGGTTAAAAATATTGGAACATGCTTTCAGAATTATTGAATATTGCGATGCTTGCTGACTAATTTGCTAGGGATTTCCTGGTTGCATTTTATGTAAATTTTGGTTTTTTAAGTTTGATACACATATATTGTTGAGATATATAAAACCATTAATGTAGCCTCACCCAAGAGCTTAAGCTTTTGGGTTGAATTGGTTCTTTACATGGTATCAGAGCCTCGTGTCCCGGGTTCGATCCTCGCCGCCTCCCCCTCCCCACTTTCTTTCAAGTGGAATTTCTTTGTTCACACAGGTAGATGGGCCTGTGCATTGTCCACCTTCAAGCCCAGTGGACTCTCGTGTGAGGGGGTGTGTTGAGATATATAAAACTATTAATGTAGCCTCACTCAAGAGCTTAAGCTTTTGAGTTGAATTGGTTCTTTACATATATCCTTTTTTCGGTCTGTTTCAGCTTTAGAATAGTTGTCTCACTTTATGACAATAATTAGCATTACAGACAGGGGAGGTGGTTGGGAAATGCTCTGAATACAAAATTTTGGAGTAAAATCTGCTCACAAAATTTTGACGGGTTGCATCATTTGAAAGCATTTACTGTATTTTTTAATACTAGATAAGTGCAGTTTCTTTCTTTGGTGTCACATTCGCTTAACTTCAAAAGAATTATAACTTATACAATTACTTGCACACAAATTCAACTGAAACATGGCTTGTTGGTAACTTGAGCAGCCACAAACTTTGGTTTCATCATATATGTAACTTGCTTTGCTTTTGATGGGAGTAAGACTCTTGAACACATATCGTTAAAAATTTACTCAGTTTCTCTTACTATCTCTTTTGCCCTCTCCCCCTTGGTGATATGTATTTAACCGTATAATGCAATACAAAAATATGCATACAGATACATACATTCTGTTGTCAGTATTGAGATCATTCAAATATTGTTGCATATGACTTTTTTTTGTCATATACAAGTCATTTTTGTTCTTTCAATTTTTCTAGATTGCGATGGCTGCAAACTTGCAGGATTTTGTGCTAACCAATTTTGAAGGAGAAGAGGTATTCCAATTGGTCCATCTGCTTTGTCTACTGAAGTTAAACATGTACTTTGTGCATACTGTTTGAACAAATATCACTGTGGCTCTGTTTTTCCATTTGGAATTGGATCAAAAATTTAAATTTTAATGTTTAAATTGCACACAAGGAATTGTGAAATAATATTGAAATTCTTAGTTAATTATATTTTTTTGTTTTTGATGTATGATCTAGTGTTTTCTTTTCTTTTTTTGCAATAAAAAAGTTCCGTATTTTATAACTTAAATGTATGAATAATTTCTTATTTTTTATTGTGGTGGGAATGGTTGGTCGTTGTGGAAGTAGATTGGTAGTTGTGGGATCTGTTGTTATGGCAAAATTGGTAGTGTCAGCAATGGCAATGGTGGTTGGAGGCAGGGTCAATGGTAGTTGGTAGGCCTGGTGGTAACAATGATGATGGTGGACACTGGAGAGTGGAAGCATGGTGGAGTGTGGTAGTGACGAGGTTGTGATGGTGGAGAGTGGCAACAGTAGGCGTGGAGGTGGGTCAGCAGGGAAAATGGTGGCTGTAACAAGATTAGTGGTTTCGATGGCACAGGCAGTATTGGTGGTAGTGGTGACAAAGTGCTGATTGTGGTGTTGGTGAAGAGTGGCAGCAATGGCGGTGGTGGTACTGGTGGTAGAGATGGTTCTTGAAGTATCAAACTGAGGTGGCTGGAGTTGTTACATCCATGCATGTTGGTTAAAGAGTGCGGCTTATTCTTGCTTCATGGAATTAGAACTCTTAGGGTCTAGGTTAAGGGTTGAGAAGGGCTTTATTTAGTTACTGTTCAATGCTTCGATTCCTTGGAATTGTCATTAGGAATACGAATTCTAATTCGACATTTGGAATTGTCTCGGCCAATTCTAATTCTAGGATAGTATTGGTTCCAATTCTGATGGTGTTTATTGGAGAGCCAGAATATTTCTGGCTTCAAGTTCAAGGAACTAAAGGACAACTCCCAGCTAGCAAGTTAGGGCCAGGACCAAAGATATCATGATTCATGCTCTGATCAATACAAGTATGGACATTATGGCCATTTTTCGTATTTTTTGGGAATAGCATGTAGATACCTGCTTGCAGCTTTGACTGGATTTTTATTATGCATACATGAGTACATGTTGGTGGACTTAATGTGTTTTCTCTACTAGATGTTATCATCAAAAGATTTATACCTGTGAATGAGAATTCTAATAACTTCATTGTGATGGTCTCAGGTAAAAGGGTCAGATTTATTAAGACATGATGGGACATCTGTTGCATATGTCTCATGCCCAATAGAGACTGTAAGCTTCACCTATGTATCCCTCGACTGTTCTACTTCCTCTATACATGCTTTGTATTTTTAGAAAATATCAAGATTTTAAATTATCAGTATTGAACATCATTTTCAAGTTTCAACAATGTGGAAGGTACAGAGGACCACAAATCATCTAAATTGCATCTTTAGTTGTTTTACAGATCAATTATGTTTCTGCGCATGACAATGAAACTTTGTTTGACATTGTGAGCTTAAAGGTACCATAAATATCTCAACATTCTGTTTTGTTCGTGCAATTTTTTCCATGGTCTCTGGTACAGTTCTGTTCCTTACTTGCAGACTCCAATGGATATCACTGTAGCTGAGAGATGCAGGATAAACCATTTGGCAACAAGTGTTATAGCATTATCACAGGTCAAAGAAGTTAAATGATTTTATTGAATATTAAAATCTTGAGATTTTGTATCACTATAATTTATATTGATGCATTGATATTCTTATCTTGGAGGCTTCAGTAAGTTCACCAGATAAGATAGGATAGGATAAGACCATCAAGTATAAGAATGCACAAATATAAGCACGTGATAATATACAGAAATATTTACTCTGACAAAAATGCAATTCTTTTTCAATTTAAACATAAGGCAGTGGTGGTGGGGGTGATATGATTACTGGAGTGTTGCTTATAATCTCTCTCTGATGCTGTACTTATTGTTGTTTTATGAGAATATCCATTAATCATGTGAAGAGAGATTATACAGCTTCGTTGTATATTTTAGCCTCTGTGGTTCTCTCTCTCTCTCTCCTGTTTTGTCTTGTTCTGGAGGATATCTAACATCCCCTTAATGTACATGCTTCTTTTCTCTCTAATAAATTTGCATATTTCATCCAAAAAATGAAGACACTGAGGTTTAGAGGTGAAGATTTAGATTGGTGCAAACTTTGTATAAGCAACGGAGATAAGATAAATTAACTACTTAAATCCTTTTTCACTGATGAGAGCATGGTGTTGTCTCAGTAAACAAGTGCCTCTGTGATGTCATTGTCTTTTGAATTTTTTGTAGACAAGTCTATTGACTAACAAAAAAGACCACAATTATTGGAGGGTGGCTTTTACTTCTATAACTGAAACTGAAGACATGAAAATCATCTGATTGTCTTTTGCAAAGTAGAATTTTTCAATATCTTTTTAACAAACGTCAGCTCAGGAATATTTTTAGATCTAGCAGAATTTGAATTTTTTGGTTTTATTCAATTCCAAACCAGATTTAGGGCCAGTGAGTGGATCCTTGCTGTTTCCTATACTTTATTAGCCAATCTGATTACATAGGTTATAACAGATGAGTTATTATGGTACTAAAGAATTTCGTTTCTCAGGGTATACCATTTTTTCACTCTGGAGATGAGACACTCCGCTCAAAATCACTGGATCGAGATTCATACAATTCTGGTGATTGGTTCAACAGGTATTCACTTCACACTCAACTTCTGCTATACCTAATAATTATCATTGTTACCAGGAAACAGCCTCTTTGCAATTATGTAAGGGTAAGACTGCGTACAAGAATTACCTCTACCCCACACTCGCTAATCGGGTTTAACGAGGAGTGCATTTTTTTACTGCTTTGACTTTGCCAAAATTGTTGGAAATCGACAATCACACAAATCGCAAACAAAAAGAGAAGAGAGAGAGAATAGACACAAAGATTTATCCTGGTTCACCCAATTTAGGCTACGTCCAGCTTGTCTGTACTATATTCACCTTACCGCCACTCGTTACAAGTCACTCGGTTTACAAGGAAAATATAAATAGGATTAGAATGCGAAGTATGAGCGATACCCAACAAAAATTAGTATATCATCTACTTCATTATAATGTCCTAATATTTATAGTGTTTCAAACAGTCCTGTTATTTTTAATGTATCTATTTTATTTTTTTCACATTATTTCCAATGGATTTAGTGTCACTTATAATGTGTTTCCTTCTGCACCTAACTTAGCTTTACTCTCTCAATTTCAGGATTGACTTTACATACAATTATAATAATTGGGGTGTTGGACTTCCTCCACAGGAGAAAAATGAAAAGAACTGGCCACTGTAAGCATTTAAATATTTCATTATCACCATTTAAAAAGTATGCCTTACCAAAACAACAACTTATCCAGCATTATATGACAGTAATAATTATCTTTGGGTTATTGAATCATGATGTACAACAATCCAATTGTTAGTTTTCATTATCACCATTTAAAAAGTATGCCTTACCAAAACAACAACTTATCCAGCATTATATGACAGTAATAATTATCTTTGGGTTATTGAATCATGATGTACAACAATCCAATTGTTAGTTTACTGCTTGTGTTGCATCTGTTTTACTACTTGATGATCTTGAGTCTCATTTGGCTTTTCAGAATCAAACCAAGACTGGCAGACCCATCCTTCAGGCCTCAGAAGATTGACATCCTTGCTGCTGTGGAAAATTTCTTAAACCTGTTGCGCATAAGATACTCTTCACCACTTTTCCGCCTGAGGACGGCAAATGCTATACAGGTGAGACATTTTAAATTTCATTGTTATATAAATTCATCAATTAATGCCTGGATAGTGAAGTGCTTAACCAACAGAAGGTATATTCTTTGTCAGCGACTAATTATTTTCATCAAATTAGATTTATTAGTTAACCAACAGCTAAAACATCATTATTTTCATTATATTTCTGATTCTTTATTATATTAGATTTATTAGTTAATGTATTTTGAACTAGCTAATATGGAATTTTGTTAGAACGTATAGTTGAAGCAATTTGTCAAACGTCATGTTATTTTACCCTAATTTAATTTTCATCTTAAACAGAAAAAAACTTTATTTTGTCAGCTCCTTTTTGCTCTGAGAAGTGAAGGCAGAACAGGTTGAATTGGGAATCCTTTTTTCAAATCTAGTCCTGGCCAAGATAATTTTTTATCTGCTTTTAATTTTAAACACTTCCCAATTTCATACCTTGGTTATTAGTGTATTTCAAGTAAATAGTGATGAGGTGAGGTGGGGGAAATTTGTTGTTATTTTTTTTTGTTTTTCTGGATTTTTCTGTGATTGACAGCACAAGCCGGTGGTAATTTCCACCTTTAATAAATTTTCCTGTAAAACCAGATTGCATTTTGTCTCAGACAATGTCAGATATTCACTGAAAATTATGTGTCATCTGTTGTCATATATATATATATATATATATATATATATATATTTTGGTATACCGACCTAAAGGCGAGTCGGTCCCGGGTATCCCAAGCTCTTCGTCCCTCCCCAAAATATATTTGGTGGGAAAGGTTTCCTCCTCACCACCTACTCAGCCTCGGTTTGTATTGCCAATTGAGCAACATCCATTAAGTTCTTTTGTTATATTTTATTTGTCAGATACAAAACCTAAGATTTTATCTCTCATATATGCAGCAACGAGTACGCTTTCACAATACCGGACCATCATGGGTTTTTGGAGTCATAGTAATGAGCATTGAAGATGGTCATGATGGCTTTCCTGGGTTGTCTCAGCTGGATCCCATGTATGCTAAAACATATGGCAATTTTTTGTTTCATGACTTGAATATCCTTTAGTTTTTTTGACAATGGTATTGGCAGATATTCATTCATTGTGATTGTTGTCAATGCGAGTCCAAAAGAAGTATCATTTATCTGCCCTCCCCTGCAATCAAGAAGTCTCCAGTTGCATCCCATACAGGTACGAATGAAGCTGAAGAATTTAAAAGATGAAAATTGGAATATTTCTAGACTTTGTTCTGGAAAAATAATGTTTTGATGTGCTGGTGAATCAGTCATTTACACTGTTAGAGAAATTCTTGGATAGACTTCCGGCTTTGGTAGAAGTTTTAAGTCGCCTTTCTTTGAATTCATAAACTATTCTAGTTCAATATGATAAAATATGATTTTACCTTGACTCAACAATCAACCGGACACTTGAATTAGTTTTCAACAACACAAGAAAATATACTGGTGGAGATTGATTCATGTTTCTTTAGTTTACTTTGCTAGATTTATCCATTTATAATTTCAGATGTGGTGTTCAATTCCATTGTCTGAACTGTGTTGTAGGTAATGTCATCTGATGACCTTGTTAGGAGCTCAACATACGAGGCATCTTCTGGCTGTTTTGTTGTGCCTCAAAGGACAACAGCTGTGTTTGTGGAGCCAAGGAAAATGTGAGTCACTGCTTCTGTCAAATATGGTTGTTAAACCAGTAATGTAAAAATTTCCTCTGTATACACTACTGGTGATTATGATGCTAGTTTTGGTGCATCAGGATGGATTCTCATGTGACCTTCACACACTGAACACGTTTGGATCCTTTGTTTTTAAACCACCTCCTCCTCCTAAGTTAGAGATGGAACTTGAAACAAATACTAACCTAGATTTGTTGCAAAAAGGTTTCACACACATTCACTCATAGCTATGTTTATTTTCATAAGATTACTCGTGTCCGTAGTGGTTAAAATGGATCTAGAGTTGCATTAGTTCAATGTAAGAAATAATATAAGTTGAAGGTTTTCATGTGAAAGGAAATGAGAACAATGAGCGAGTGAAAGTTAAACTAAGCTTCCACTTATAGAATTGGCTTACATGGAAGGTAATAGTTACAGCAAATTGTGATTGAAGTCTTGAGTCGGCATATCTTTACTCAAGTTTAATCTTAAAGGATTAGCAAATGTGGTTGTTAAAAAAAAGAAGCTAATTCTCTAGAAACTACCATACTTGAAAGGATGTGACTATGAAACATTTTTATATGTATTAATCAACTATTATAAATTTATATTTTATTGTCTAAAATTGTACATCACATCTTATAATAGCCTAATGCAAGTATGTCATGGTGAGGTTTGGTAATTGGTAGAGATTTGGGGAAATTGAGGCCGTGAAATTTGAGGGTGGTTTTGGGCCCTGTCAACTCCTCCAAACGGAAGAAGCACCTTTTGATGTTTTTGATTGTCCCTGAGCGTCAATTTTATTTTTCACTAAAAGTGGTTGTTTGGGACCACATCATAGTCTTCTAGGGAGGGAATGGGGCATATCCTAGTGTCTGTTTCTTTAATTTGTTGGTTGAATCTTATTTGGGATTAGTTTGTAAAATGGGTAACCATATTTTGTTAAAATTGAAAAAAGATATATAAATGTCATTTTCTTTGAACAATCTATACTCACAATTAAGAGATACTTCTGTCTATTACCATTTTCAAAGTTAAATTTCTTGGATTCCCTCCCATTCGCGTGTGGTCACGTGAGGTTAAAGTTGTCTGCTCACTTGAACTAATATTTTAAGATAGCCAGGAATTTTCACAAAGTCCTCTTCCGTTGTTTTTTCTTTTTGAACGTCAGAAGATAGATTCAGAAAAAGAAAAAAAAAAAAAAAAAAAGAACTTGACAAGAAACTTTCCTGAATGAAAAATTAGGCGGTACTTAACCGCGCATATTTTAAAATTAGCAACTGAAAATGGCTTCACTATACATGTTTTGAGGAGTTCCTTTTAAAAGAATTAAATTCATTCACCTTTTGGGCTTTAAAAAAAAAAATTGTATCATCTGATTAGCCCATGTTAATGTTTCATACAAATGCTACATGGGTCCTCTTATTTTGTTTATTTTATAGATATTTTATAGTTAAGTTCTTATAGTTTTATTAATTTTTTAGATATATTTTAATTAATTTTTTTTTTTTTAACAAAGCTCTTACGGTCATAGAGTAAGGCACACTGAATATAAGTATATAACCAATCACTCATAATATTTTTCTCAGACTAACTATTAGATATATGATTACAAATTAAGTGTGGTCTGAAATTCCCAACAAATTTCCTTGCTTCGATAATTTCCGTCCATTAAACAAGAACTAAGACTTCAGTACGATACTAAACAGCTCAGAATAACTTACTATCAGCATCAAGCTAATAAGGCAAACGTGATTGTGTAACGTCCGACCGCTTCAAGAATCAATGATTATTCTCAAATACTAATGAGACTTTTTTAGTGTGTTTTTTTCTCACTTGCACATTTCCTGGAAAAATTTACCAGGAGATCACTCATCTCAGTCAAACATGCTTAACTGTGGAGTTCTTCCGTACCGGGTTATCGAAAAGCAGATGCATCTTGTTAGTGTAGGTAGTACCAATTAATTATTATAAGCTATCCTAAATTGTGCAGTCTCGCACCTGCACAGCCTTTGGAATCCCTCTCTTTCGGGTGTCGATTCGATTCATTCATGCATGTAATCCCCTGCTGGAAGCCTGTCAGGAGCCGAGCCGCTCTTTGTCCATGCCCTTTCGCACCGACGATCACTCTCCGCCCTCGTCAAAGTTATTTACAGATTGCATAAATTAATAAACGTCAAAGTTATTTATATAATTCGTTTGTTTGTTTTGTTTTGTTTTCTTTTTTTTTCTTGTCATGATAGTTACAAATTAAACGCTAAAGTTATTTATATAATCTCTTTTCTTCCTATTATCTAAATACTTTCTTAATTGAAGGTCAATGGTCAAAGTTGTTATATAAGACTAAAAGTTAAAGTTTTGGCCACCAAATCAACTGGTATGTGATTTTTTAACTTCAGTGATTTCAAGTCTAAGTAAAATGTGGGGAAATTGAATTATAAAATATACCTGAATGTCATGGATCCCAAATATTTTTCTAAAGTATCCCGGTACCTATGTCGCTGACTAATCTAGTATTGTGAAAGTCGCTGAGTAATCTAGTATTGTGAAAGCTAGATTACTGAATTTGGAAAATGTTCAAACTTTAAAAATGACTATTGTGAAAGAGCCTAACATTCATTTCGTGTCCTAAAGAATTATTCCGATACACATTCGGCTATGCCTGTTACTATCAGAATTGTGTTTACAAAAGGACAAACATAAACGGTTCTTAATTTTTAAAATATCAAATAAAAACTCGAAAAAAAAGAACTTTTAACAATTTATACAAAGTAGCACTTAATCTCTTGTTACGTTAGCACAAGAATATGATGGACTTTTTATCATCTCTACCTCATACCCAAGGCATTCATGTATTATTAATGAATTACTGCAAAAAGGCCAAAAGAAAAGAAAAAATTAAAAAGGCCATTATTCTCACCTCAAACATGAAAATTGTCTCTATATCTTTTCCTACAATTTGAACCAACAAGAACAGACAATAATAGCAATATGCCTCTATATCTTTTCCTACAATTCGAACCAACAAGAACAGACAATAAAAGCAAATGAAACTCAAAAGACAAAATAATATAATAACAGAGCAAGCAACATGACCAACGAATCACATTTTGGGAAAACTGCTGCTACCTCTTTGAACATTTGCAAACAAGTAATCACATTTTGGAATTGTTCATAATCCAGACCTTAAATCAAACAGTTCTTGAAAGACGAAATAAACTCAAAATAGGTAAGGGAAGCAAGTCAAAGTAACATTCATCGTACATGATTTCACAACTAAACTAACAGTAAAGTAGTCACAAGTTATCATTATATAGTGTCCTGCAGAACCAAGCTTTTGATATCTATCAAAACAGCAAACACATCTCTTCCCTCGATTAGCTGAACACAAAATGGGAAGGCACACTCCTTCCTTTCCATAAAGCAACACAGAATGGGAAGGCACACTCTTATATTCTGTGACACTGCAAATAATACATCTTTGAGTTAGAGGAAAGGCATAAGTGAGCAGAATAATGGAAGTCACAATAATCCCAACAACTTACCAAACATTTTTAGCGTAGAAACAACTTTACCCTTTCATCACCTTCTGAAATCTGAAATTGTTCAGATATACCTAGATGAGCCATTAAAAGCCATACATGTGTAAGCAACTCACCATCTTCACTGAGTTGCTTAGCATGATAAACCCCTCTACAATGGCTTGCCGCATGACAAAGCATTTCCACCCAAACATGACTGATCATTCCCCATTTCCGTTCTTTAGACCAGCTCTGCTCAATTTCCAAAGAGTGTAGGGACTTGGCAAGCCTACACTGGGCAACATAAAAGGACACTTGACAAGGATATATAACATATAATTTGACAATAATTTGCTTGCTACACAATTTTGGGGTTCAACCCAACTTGAATTATCAGTTGTATCCAGATGATAGCAAAGATCTGTAGCAATATGCCAAAGCAGAATGCTTTGATCAAACTCCACCTTAATGCTCCAATCAACAACATGACAGTTCCATTTCTCAAGTACTCGATCACCCCTGTGGGCGCACAATTTTTTGCATGATTCAATATCTAATGCTTCATGAGATTTCACCATAAGCTGATAAAAAATGAGTATTTTCAAGTCCCGAGGGACAATTCTTGTATGTTGGTCGTAAGACTTCTCAAAAAAACTCATAGATGTAAAGGAATTTCTGTATTTTAATACATTTAAGTGGCTCATTTTTCAAACCATGAGATGGACTTGTACTGTACAGAGAATTGGCTCCCCAGTTCTCACACTCGCTCAACCAAAGCATTCCCCAACTTGAAGAAAGTAAAGAAATGACAGCATATATCTCAATAAAAATAGCCCCAATGAAAAGCACGTACGTAACAATGTGGTCATCATTCATGTGTGGTTTATCTATCAGATAACAAAACATAAGAAATGCAGACAAAGTGCAGAGAAAGCTCACGGCTTTGAGGAAAATACCAAGGCGGGAGCACGTTAGCAGTGCCTTGGTGTGTAGTATATCATACATCAGCCCAAGCTCAACCTCAACTACTTGAAAAGCATAATCCCAGGACTTATTCCCAAAGAAAACTTGGCTGTCTGTGCGGTCTTCAAAACTAAGTGGGAGGTCTGCAAACAGACACTTGAAAGTTTTAAAGAAACGAGATCCATCGTGTAAAACAGAAGCATCCAGAATACTAATACCACTGTCATTTTCTATTATCATCATTAAAACATTTTAAAGCATAGGGTGCAACAGTTCAGTCTAACAGACAACTATGTGCTTTGTCATTCCTGCATACAATAATTCATCATTATCGATCATTACCCGTACGTATAAGCTCACGATATCAATAAGTTCAATCAAACACAGCCCTAAGAAGGAGTTTGTAAAATATTTTTAAATAGGCAGATACTACAACAAAGAGTTCTCACATTGGTGATTGCCTGATTGGCTGGCTACATGTAAACAAACTCAAAAAGAAAATAGTAAAGAAAAGAATGCTACAATCGAACCTAATTTTACTTAAACATTAATATTTAAATTATAAATAAATTTTACTTAAAAATATATAGAGATTAATCATTTAAAATATCCACCACTTGATACAATACAATCAATGTCTACATAATCTTATCCATAAAAATTATAAATAAATGTTATTATAATTTAATTTTCTAAAGTGAATGTAGATAAGTTATCTATATTCGCTGTTAAAACAACGTCGTTTTGAGTTAAAAAATTAAAAAAATATAATGAAAAAGACTATTATAACCCTGAAATGAATTATAATTACAAAAATACCTTGATTTTTGCCTCAAAACGACGTCATTTTGGG